TGTTGAGGACACCCGTAGCCTTCACATTCCCCTGCTCTCGTCGCCAACGCGAATTAAATGAGCCATCCCTGTCTAATATCGCTGTGCAGCATCATATTTTTTTTTATCTAAAGCATCTACATACCTTGCTTATGACCATACATCAATCTGAAATGCACCACCGTGTGATGCCTACAGGTGCACTACGCGGCCACCACGGAGGTAGATTTTTCGTTGGTTTTTTCAACAAATTTTCAACTAACCACCATAAAGTATGATGGAGCGCAATAAAATTGAATACTCATCTATACGTATACGTTTACGAAGCATGACTCAGTACGAAGGCAAGCTTTCAGAGAATAAAACCTAGGATCACATGAATGTGTAAACTGATATGAAGGCATCGCTAATGAATCCTTGTCTAGTCCTGACATCAAATGAGACTTAAACCAACAAGTTTGAAAGCTTTTATATTTGAATGGAATCAATAACACAATGGGTAATCACGCTGTCTTATGAATTCAAAGAACCAGATGGATCAGAGGGACCAGATGAAAGCCTTTCCACAATCGAGACCGGGGCACCACTTCAGCAGACGATTTCCTTCCACAAAACTATTGATTTTAAGACGTTGATAAGCATTACGCACAGCCTCGCTCTGGATATATTGCATCACCTAGAAATAATACCCATGCAAATCAATAATCTAGCATTGCACAAGTAGTTAACCTTCTCGTCCTGAATTAGCAGCTGACATCCATTAAAAATACATTGTATCTCACTCGTCGCATCATTCATAATCTGAAATAAGACAAACGTCGACTGATAAATGGTGAGATGAGCCACAAAAAAAACCTGAATGTTACAAGCAATTTTGAAAACAGGGGGTCCCACCAAGACAATCGCACTAATAGTTTGCGCAGCCATGCACTCCATATTACTGAGTGTGTACTCCCCACTTTGCTATTTTGCAAATCAACCGTAACAAAATCGATGTTGCGCAGCAGTAAGCTTATCGATAGACAGCCCATCACAGACTTGAAGTATTAAGTATAGTCGATAAGGCGAATATTAGCTATCAGATGATGAGCCACAGTATGGCAGTCGTGATTTTGAGTGATATGCTCGCACAAGGATCGCAATCGATTGTCAAGCAGTAGGAAGCGGGTGTGAGAGGCATCCTCGAGACGTACTCAAAACAACGGTCCACGAAAAGAAGCAGTTGATGACCGGCACCAAATACAGGCGTTAGTAAACGCAAGCACAGATAACTTCATCCTACATCTAACAGAAGACATCAAACGCGTTACCAATATGTTGATGATGCAAAATCACGGGATTTCAAAAATTCACGCACTTCCTGAACTAACCTTAGTGTCCAAGATACCTCTGCCAACAGTTCGAGCATGCCCAGTGATGGCAATCCAAACCTCCTAGAGGGGCGATGGTGCAGCATATGTCGCATTCTCCAACGGAGGACAAAGGTGGCGGTGCAGGTTTGCGGGGCAGTACTTGAGCTTTGCGTAAGAAAGCGTCAGTATCAGGATTTTCATAATACCTGTAATTACAATCATTTGACGTGCAAAAACTTGGAAAAAAAATTGGATAGACAACATAGTTCGGCTCTACCAAGGATGGAAAGAAAAGGATAAAAGTACGGAAGTTTTGGTCTATCCTTATTACTCGCGCTCAATACTTACTCTTCATTTAGCATAAGCATAAAAGAGAATATAATCGATTGAAAAGATAAACAAAAAACAAACCTTTCTAACAAACTTTCGTTACAAACCTTTCTAACAAACTTTCCTTGTTCCAATTGAATTTGTGCAGTAGTATACGGCAGTGTCCACGGCCAATCCGGAGAATTGCAGAAACTTCGTCTATGATTTCATTCATTTCTCTGGCAAGGTCCTCCACTGTCATCACCTAAACAATAACGAATCAAACCTATCATAGCTGACCACCATCAAACTACATCAACCCAAAACGAACTTTCTCTCTTTCGAAAGAAAAAATTCATAAAGGTCGTTTTTTAACGTCTGTCAGTGAAGACAAGATCACACCTACAAGCGCTGAATTTTGCAGAAGATGAAGCGCACGTCACTTTTGGAACCTCAATTTGGCGCTCACGCCATGTAGGGCGGACACTGAAGGAAGTGAGCCACTGATATGCCGTGAATTAAAAGTTTAATCGTCATCCGGCATCATGGAATAAAATTGAGAAGAACACAAAAATCTCTTAATTCAAAAAAGCAGAATTAATGAGAAGTAAATCTAATTCACCTGTATGACAAAATAGCTATTTTGACTCTGTATACTGTAGATGATCGCTTTGAAAACATGAATCGCGAAAATTGGCGGCGGTTTCCACTGGGCATGTAAATCCATGTGTTTCAGGACTGGCTCCATTACCGCTCGTAGAGAGAAGCGAAAGATGCCTGAAAAATTTGGTTTCAATTTAGAGGAGAATCCTACGATAAGGTGAGATCAAAGAAGGGAAATAGGTCTACATACTGGGAAAGGCAGGCGGGCTTCTTAAGAATGAGGGACGGTGCGCTTCCCGCAACGAGGGGTATGCTCACAATGACCTAGCAGGACCGTACCGGCAAGCAATGTCAACCGTCACATTCACACTCACTTTTCAATAAATTTTGTTGACACCTCCCCCTTTAGGGGAGGGGAGGGGCGCAAATAATGGTATGGTATGTGGGACAAAATAAACATGCATGAAAATGGCGAAACTGTAACGTTTAAAAAACAAATTCAAAGGGATTTTCGTCCCTCAACCCCTTCAAGGAGGATTGAATTGCTGCGGTCCCAGGAGGTCAAGTTTTTTTAAACCACAACGCAAATGACTAAATACGCAGAACCGGCCCTCAATTGAAAACAACAGGCTCGGAAACAAACACCGTACATTTAAGGAACATCCGGAACCCTTGACTGTCAGCTTTGAGTCACCTCGACGCTCCGACTTCATAGTGGTCCTCCGCCATCGAACGGTTCTCACATCTGAAAAAGAAAGAGTCAAACAAAAGTGCATTGCAAAAACCAAACATTAAAATTTCTCGCTTGAAGTCCTTATTTATTTTACTAAACGTGCAACTGAACGAAAAACAAGATGAACGAACAAGATGAAACAAGATGAACAGATGAATGAGCGAACACGTACGAAAAAGAGCGAAACGTTGAGAAAAAACAGTACCAATGGCCTCAGCGACGGTTGCCGAAATCGTGGGAGAAACCGCGGAGATGCCGTAATCGGGGGGTTGTGTGACCACACAAGGTTGTTGCATCGACGGCAACACAAAACCCACTTGAAACCTGACATCAACTAGTTTTTGAACTTAACTATTGAGTTCGCTGGTACCTAGTTCGACTCGCTGGTACATAGTTCGACTCGCTGGTACATCGTTCGACTCGCTGGCGCAAAGTTCGATTCGCTGGTGCAACGTTCGATTCGCTGGCGCAACGCTCGGATCGAGCGATTCGCTAGCGAATCGCTCGATTCGCAAACTATGACATCGGCCTAAGGTGTTGCTTCACGGTTGGCAGAAGTAATGAGTTATCCTTTTTGGTAAGTAGGATCAGAGCTGTTGAAGATCGGGTCATCAAAGTCGCTCGGAAAAGCGCGCATAGAGAGATTAGGGGGCTTACCAGAGCTCTCTGACTCCGGCCAAAATCTTGAGGCGCGCGCAACAACAGCCACTTCTCTTGTGACCCCTCTTCTACTATGTTCACCGTATCCTGTCATCTCTGCTCGCTCTGAATCTCAGTCATACCACACTCGACCTTACACGAAGTTTAGGCCTCTAATTTTGATATTTTGATGATTTCACTGGCTTTGTTTTGAATTTCAGCCCTTTCCGACTCCCAGCCTTCATTGTTTGAGCACTCTTACCACTTCCGTCCTGGTGCTCTCGTTTAACCCATAACGGACGGCTAATATATTTGTTGCATGCGCCCTATGATGGGCGCACGCCGTCACACAGGGTAGGGGTTATGTAGGCTTACGAGCAGCAGGGTCAAGACGGGGCTAAAGTAGCTGTCTTGTCTCAACATCAAAAGAAGAGATTTCCGTTGACGACAACTTCGTAACCCCTTTCCGCTTTAAAACTAGGGTGCAAAGAATGAATGGAAGCTGCAGGTGAATCATGGAAAAATGCGGAACAACAACCCCGAGCAAGGATGTGGCTATATTTAGGGGAAGGGGTCTCGGGACGAGTGAACCATCTGTAAGCCATCCATCAAATAGTAAACTTATGAAAATTAAGACAAAGTGTATGTAAAATTTATTGTAGGTTTGTCAAAAATCCACTCGTCCAGGTCCTGGGAAGATATGTTATTCCACATTGCTGAGAGTATATACGGGTATATTAAGATTGTTAGAAACGTAACAAAAACAAAAGAAATAATCGTGCGCCACCATGTGGCGCACGCCGTCCGTTATGGGTTAAGGGAGGCCCTTTCGGCAGTTTAGGGAAGCCTCTCAACACGAATTTTTAGCCGAATTTAAGGATTGATTTTCCTTGATTGGAATTTTTTGCACCCAACTAATTACTCGCAAGTTCCTTTCCATTTTTGTTCTGATGTACCTGTTTTATTCGTGTTTCTTTGCCTTCACCTCAGTTTGTGTCTGAAGTCGGGTGTTTACACCAGGGCGAAATTTTCGCTAATCGCTCTAACTCGCAGGAGTTTTGGCCTTTTCATTTCAGAATCTTCTCCAAATGGCGCATTTTATCCTCAAGGGAGCTTAGCAAATTTGAGGGTGAGTCGTGATACCTGTTTTTATACTGCGTCCGGCTTTTTATCAATTAAAATGCTTTTCTTTTGTTACTTCGTGACATGTTTGGACTCAAACAGACAATAACCAAAACAACAAGGGTGGTCAAGAGGAAAGCAATCCATTAATCCTTAGGGCGCATTCAATGCGCAGTATGAAGGGCCTGTGGATGCAGGAGAAGGAGCTCACTTTTCCATTTTCTCCATCCACAGGTAGCAACACAAATCATAGCCGTGAAGAATCATACACATGGAGGGACCACAAATGGAATGCTTCCAACACCTGCACCAATCGGTTCGACAGACTACTTGAACCCGGCCCCTTCCTCTGCACTCTCTCGCGGATCCCACTCCTCTTCAAGGCTTAGTTCTAGGGCACGCACCAGTCGGCAATGGTGGAGGATTTCATACAGTATCTAGCATTATATCCGATTTTTCCACTCGTCTTTCATCGTCACAAAGAACGATAACTTCTTGCCATTGTAAGTCGAGTAGCTGCCAGGGCCGCGCGAACGCAGCCCCACACGCAAAAATTTAGCCGTTGGCTAACCTCACCTCGAGGTTGCCACGCGGGTCAGCCTTCACTAAAGTGCAATGTGAGGGCCTCACCACGGAGGTCCCGCCTTCCTGATCGCGAGATCCTCCCAGCCAGGTAAGTTTATGAGCTGTCGGCGGCTACGAGGGCCTGGAAAAGTGTTTCGCATGTTGAACGGGTGGAACTCGCTGCATTTCATTCGGTTCTGAGAGTGCAGACTGGAAAACAGCTGAATGCACTTTTGGGACGCGCCCATGTCGATATTCATTGTATGCCGCTCTCGTGGCTGTAGTTGAACGGCTAGCGTTCACCATAATTTAATAATTATGGTGAACGTAATTAATTAATTCACCATAATTCTGTTCGAAGCGGGTTTGCATATCTTAGACTAACTAAAATATCTCTTTTCAATAAGTGGTTCTTCGAGTTCATTCAAACATGCTGCAGCTAAAATTACACGTACGGCATAGATATTCACTTATAGTGTTGTTTTCTTTCTCATCCGCTTCTATTGTAATAGATGTTGTAATCTATTTTACCATTTTACATACTGTCTTACACAGCGGTATTTAATAAATAAATAAATAATTAAATAATTTTATTGCGCCTCATGCGCCTTTGGGGTTGGGGTGGGGCATTTAGAACAGGGCGATGGTAGGTAACACCAGGACTACGTCAAATGGCTCACATCTTCCTCCAGAGTCCTAAGGCTTACTTCCAAGTGCTGTAAGTATCCCACTCACTTGATCTCCTCGAAAGGGATGAGCGCCCATGGTTTTAGGCTCTGTAGATGCTAGATCCTAATAATCTGCCGTGAGTAATCGACCTCATCGGTAATCAGTCTTTTCGGTAGTTGAGAATAGACTTGTGCCAAAATCATTTCTTGCATGGTTAGGTAGGTAAGCTCAAATGTCGAATCACGTTCTGATAGCTGGTCAATTGAGAGTAAAAGCTGAGAGAAAAATAAGAAAGAAGATGGAAAGAGGAAAGGAAAAATGAGGCGAAAGCAGAGAGTATTGTACTATAAAGTAGGAGAAAACTAGGTACTTTTCCAAAAAAAAGCCCAAACCAGACATCTACCAGAAGTAAATACTTGTTTATGATGGGATCAATCCGTTCATTCCCCGCCCTTCCTGTGCCCATTTCCGCGACACTTTTGAGTTTGATCGTTATGCGAATAGCAGTTGCGATGCCGAGCGCCATCTGTCTAGCCTCGTTCTGTCTCTGGGTCGCTTGTCGCGAGCTGCATTTGCCGATCGGCCCGTGCAGGGTACGACGCCTGGTCGAAGGCAGTGACGGACCCGCGACGGCTCATAAACTTACCTGGCTGGGGGCGTCTCGCGATCAACAAGGCAGGGACCTCCATGGTGAGGCCCGTGCATTGCACTTTAGCACCGGCTGACCCGTGTGGCAGCTTCGAATTGAGGTTCGCCAACAGCTAAATTTTTGTGTGAGGGGCTGCGTTCGCGCGGCCCTGCCAAGAACTCGAGAAAAAGAAAAAGGAGGTTCAGGTTGCTTTAACATCTGTGAAAGTGCTCAGCAGCCTTCACTATGACACATTTGCTTCGGTGCCGGAAGCTACACAGCAGGCCAACGCAGGACCTTCACACTCCTGATATGAGGAACAGCTGCGAATTTAATGTGGATATGGTTTTTTTTCTTCGTTCATTTGGGGTTCCGGGATGGCGCACCGACTCAGGTTTGATCCCCGGCGCGCACGTTGTAAGGTGCGCCATTCTGCACTACCACCACTTCCGCCTCTCTGTCTGCCAAAATACTAACTGCCAGGGCCTAAAAAATTTAGAACGCGATAGTGGAGTTGCTGCCTATTTTAGATCGGAAACGAGATCATCGCGCCCGGCGCCATAGTACCACCGGCCCTTACCCGGAACGTGCGAACTTATGTGGTGTTTTGGGGTCTTCAATTTCAACATCGGACCCCATAGGGGATAGCCCAATTACGGTTCCAAGCAATTGATAGGGGCCAGTTTATTAGGCAGTAGGCAAGACTTATGAGTGCTCACTCCACTAGTGGGGTAGGGCTGTCACTTATTCATGCAATGATTCTCGTGTTAGTACAGCATTTCCTCAGTACTCACCATTCCTACAAAACCCCACCGAGATTCACAAAGTAAATTCACATCTCGCCAGGGCCGCGCGAACGCAGCCCCACACGCAAAAATTTAGCCGTTGGCTAACCTCACCTCGAGGTTGCCACGCGGGTCAGCCTTCACTAAAGTGCAATGTGAGGGCCTCACCACGGAGGTCCCGCCTTCCTGATCGCGAGATCCTCCCAGCCAGGTAAGTTTATGAGCCGTCGGCAGCCGTGAGGGCATGGAAAAGCGTGCCGTACACGAACGAGTGAAATTCTGTTGCACTTTCTTTGCATGAAGAGGCGCAGAGTGGAAAACAGTCGAAATCGACAAGCTGGCATACGCGTTTGCACTTGACTTGTGTGCAGCCAGTCGGCTCTGACGTGTTTTAGGAAGTTTTTTCAATGGCATCTTTTCAGCTGGTAGTTAGACATTACTCAATGAGATTGGGAAGGGGGGGCGGGTTAAAGATTAATTTGCGAACATCCATCATTTTCTAACGGGAAAAAATGTTAGCGACGCGATTTAACAGGGGGTATTTTAGATTTTAGTGGAGTGAATTCCTATTTT